CGCCCTTAAAGACAACCCCACAAGACTATTTCCTCTTCATGTTAATGTTTTTACTGCTAACCACTCTGCAGTGGTTCATGTTGTGTCAGAATGGAAAAGAGTGACGTTGTATATGTGTTTTGAGGTGGCATTGGTAATTCTGATATACTCCCTAGAGAAGTCCTTGTATTACAAGGAAATAATGAACATTGGCAATGAGAATAATCTTTGTGTTCCCAAGTCAGTAGTTCTAGACTCAGTTGGTGGAACTGAGTCTTACACTTCAGCATTAAAGGGTTTTGGGATTTTAATAGAAGAGAAGATGTCCTGTTGGTTTACAGTGAATACCTTCTGGTATCTCCTCACTGTTTGTCCTCTCTGCTGGGCATTTATTTCACTGAAAATAGGGAATACCCCCTTAGCACCCTGAGCTTGGCACTCTGTGTGGTGGTGATCGGTTTCTTTGCTTCCCTCCTGGCCTATAAGCATGTTCCCCATTTTGTATTCTGAGTTCTGGCCCAGGGCCTGTCTGGTGGACATGTGACAGATGTCAGATGAACTGTTGTTGACTGAAGTGAGGGCTGAGTCATCCTGGCTGTGCTCTTTCTGGTGGCCCTGCCTCTGGGAGTCCTGCCGGAGAAGGGTTATTATAAGTTAATGGTGGAGAGGTGTACTTCAGACCTTTTCATGTTTTTCTTCTAAGAAACCTGCTTGAATTAAAGTTTATGGAAACTGTCTTGGGAGAAAACATTCACATATCGTTTGTATTCAGGAGGCCACTGGAAGAGTTTCTTTGGTGTGAATCAAGATGGGCTAATTACATTGTAAAGTTCATGTCCAGACACTCCCCTTGTAAATTGCCACAGAAGTATTTCCCACTTCTGTTCTGGCTGTTCCTTCCTAGGGTAGTATCCCAGCCACATGTAGAGGTGCATGAACCAAGCCATGATACTTTTCTATCTTTACTGTGTATTCTTCTACTTAATAGTTACCTAACTCACCAAGGTTCTTAATCTATGTCAGTAATGAGCATTGTTTGGTTTTTATCCATTTTCCCCTTTTCTTGCCTGATTCAGTGAAGAGGAGCACTTGCTTTCTACCAGAAGCCTTGGTTTTCTGGGGAAATACATATAAAAAAAAAAATCACTGGATTTGTCCTTGATTTGGCATGACTGATGAAGCAAGCAGCTGCTTAATAAGAAGCAAAGCTGGGAGTAGAACAATTTAATTAGCTTCTGTCTGTTGAGCCTTTAATAGAAGCCACAACTTGACTATATGGAGCTCTTTAGTTTTAAATGAAACATTTTTGCAAAGGGAGACTCAAACATGTACCCCAAAAACCCCAGTGAAGTGAAAGTATATCTATTAAAAATATAAAATAACCAGTATAACAAAGACTTAAAAACTAGCTTTTTTAGGAATGAGGAATTTCTTCTTTTTTTCTTCCAAATTGTTATTTAAATTCTAGTTAGTTAACATATAGTGTAATATTGGTTTCAGGAGTAGAATTTAGTGTTTCATCCCTTACGTGTAACACCCAGTGCTCATCACAAGTTCCCTCCTTAATACCCATCACCCATTTAGTAATTTCCTACCCCCATCCCTCCATCAACCCAGAGTTTTTTCTCTGTCGTTGAGTCTCTTATGCTGGGGCGCCTGGGTGGCTCAGTTGGTTAAGCATCTGCCTTCGGCTCAGGTCATCATCTCAGGGTTCTGGGATCGAACGCCACATTGAGCTTGGCATCTCCCTCTCCCTTCGCCCATCCCCCCTGCTTGTGCACGCGCTGTCTCTGTTTCTCTCTCCTTCTCCCTCTCTCTCAGATAAATAAAATCTTTTAAAAAAAAAAGTTTCTTATGGTTTGCTTCCCTTTCTCTTTTTTCCGCCTTCCCATGTGTTCATCTGTTTTGTTTCCTAAATTCCATATATTAGTGAAATCGTATGGTATTTGTCTTTCTCTGACTGACTTATTTTGCTTAGCATAATATGCTCTAGCTCCATCCAGGTCGTTGCAAATGGCAAGATTTCATTCTTTTGATGCCTGAGTGATATTCCAGTGTGTGTGTGTGTGTGTGTGTGTGTGTGTGTGTGTGTGTCTATACCACCTCTTCTTTATCCATTCATCAGTCGATGGACATTTGGACTCTTCCATAATTTGGCTATTGTTGATAATGCTGCTATAAACATTGGAGCATGTGCCCCTTTGAATCAGTATCCGTTGTATCGTTTGGGTAAAAACTCAGTAGTGTAATTGCTGGGTTGTAGGGTAATTCTATTTTTAGTTTTTTGAGGAACCTCCATACTATTTTCCAGAGTGGCTGCACCGGTCTGTATTCCCACCAATAGTGTAAGAGGGTTCCCCTTTCTCTGCATCCTCACCAACATCTGTTGTTTCCTGTGTTGTTAATTTTAGCCATTCTGTTAGGGATGAGGTGATACCTCATCATGGTTTTGATTTGTATTTCCCTAATGCCGAGTGATGTTAAGCATCTTTTCATGTGTCTGTTAGCCATCTGTGTCTTCTTTGGAAAAATGTCTATTCATGTCTTCTGCCCATTTCTTAACTGGATTGTTTGTTTTTGGGGTGTTGAGTTTGATAAGTTCTTTATGGATTTTGGATACTAGCCCTTTATCTGATATGTCATTTGCAAGTATCTTCTCCCATTCCTAGGCTGCCTTTTAGTTTTGTTGATTGTTTCTTTCATTGTGCAGAAGCTTTTTATCTTGATGAAGTCCCAGTAGTTCATTATTGCTTTTGTTTCCCTTGCCTCTGGTGTTGTGTCTAGTAAGAAGTTGCTAGCCAAATCCAAGAGATTGCTGCCTGTGTTCTCCTCTAGGATTTTGATGGTTTCCTGTCTCACGTTTAGGTCTTTTCTCCATTTGAATTTACTTTTGTCTACGGTGTAAGAAAGTGGTCCAGTATTCCCAACACCATTTGTTTTTCCACTGGATATTCTTTCCAGCTTTGTTGAAGATTAGTTGACCATATAGTTGTGGGTCCATTTCTTGGTTTTCTATTCTGTTGGTGTATGTGTCTGTTTTTGTGCCAGTATCATACTGTCTTAATGATTACAGCTTTGTAATATAACTTGAAGTCCAGAATCATGATGCCGCCTCCAGCTTTACTTTTCTTTTTTCAACATTCCTCTGGCTATTCGGGGTCTTTTGTGGTTCTAAACAAATTTTAGGATTGTTTGTTCTAGCTCAGTGAAAAATGCTGGTGGTATTTTGATAGGGATTGCATTAAATGGGTAGATTGCTTTGGGTAGTGCAGCCATTTTAATAATGTTTGTTCTTCCAATAGGAATGAGGAATTTCTTAATGGTGAGTTGTTTGAGTGCTTCTTTGTTAATGTACTAGTTAACAGTTCATAAAATGGATAATGTTATGTGATACCTACTATGTTTTATAATATAACTTTAGCAAACATTAATGAAACAAATGCTCATTATATAGTTGAATTTTAACAAAAGTAAATAAGTAGCTCATGTCCAGCCACCCTCCAGGACTAGCAGGGAACATACAGAACCCTTCGGGACAAACCATCCTCACGCTGAAGATTAAACTCTCCACTCTTTTCTGGTTACTGGTTTCCTTTTCTTCATTTATCTGCCCACCTGGACTCCAGTTCCCCATTTGCCTTAATCTTAGAAAACCATTTTCTCTTTTACATCTCACTTAGTGAATTATAATGATGTTTAATTTATGTACAAAACTTTTATGTATTGGTTAATATTAAACTTAGGCTAAAAGATCACAAATTAAATTTTTAATACCCTAAAATACATGTTGAATTTAAAAAAAAGTAAATGAGCAATAAAGTTAATGGAATTTCATGGAGAAGAATTGTAATATCAATATTTTTACTGAGCACACACACCAGAAAGAAAGAATGGGGAAAGAACTCATTACAGACACATGAGTTCTGTCAGAAGGGCCCCTGTGGGAGCCTGATTCTTATTACGAGGTCCTGGTTGGAAGGGAATGAAGTGGGGTTATTGCTAGTGCAGTCAATGACTTGGCTTTTCTCTAGTGAATTGGCTTCAGTAGGGGACTTTATTTCTTCACATTAGGCAGCTGAAAATATGTATTGATTCATTTCCTTTTCATTTGAGGGTCAGCTCTATCAAAGATGGAGCCACTTCTAGAAATGCTGTATTTGCTGGATATGAGCAAATGCTTTAGTGTCTTTCTTTTGGTCTGAATGTTCCTAAGATTTTTAGGGTCCAAATAAAGTTTAATTCAGTGATAGGAAAACATACTCTGAATGTGTATATATGCATATTACTATTCTTTCTGCTAACTCTACCCTTAAAACCTGAAGCTCTTTTATAAAAATCTTTTATTTTAGAGATAAAAAGTCATGGAGGATTTTTGGTCCAAGGATGTGTGGGATTGCAGAATACTTTTTAAAAGTTAAATACTAATTTAAGCAGCAACAGTGGTATAGTTCTTTTTTAAGATGGTATTATTAAGATTTTAATTTTGTTTTAAATGTCATTTGTCTCACTGTACAATTAGTTTTTATAATGTAGTCTTTTTTGTTTTGCTATTGTAGATAATCGTAGTTTTATTATGATTTTGGCCTAATTGTTTCTAGAAATTATCTAATGGACTCATTTTATAGATGAGGAAGTTGAGGCATAGAGAAATCAGGTGATTTTTCCTACGTTTAATTAAAAATGTTACTAAAAGAATACCTTCAGTTATAGTACTTGAAATGCCCTCTTAATGTTAAACTCGAAGACAGATAATTTTGAAAATCATGCTGTTAAATTTGCCTTCTAAAATTGGTAACAGTGAGATATTTAGGATAATTTTTCCCTTTTTTATTTTAAATACAAATACAAGATACATGACAAATAGCTGGTGAAGAATTAAAAGTCTACTAGTTTCTTTGTATTTTTATATTTGTGCTAACTTAAGATAAATTACTTAAAATATAAGCATATATTCTTAAAATAAAAAAATTTTAATTTAGATTTCTTATGAGCAATTGAAAGCCATTGTTTTTTCTTAACAGGTTGAAGAAATATGGACACCAACACCATACTGGTCTTCAGCACTGTTTTTACCAGCTTTCTCACCTTTCAGCTTCTTTTCTACTTTATAAGTTTCTGGTTTTCAGCAAAAATTTCTCCAGGTTTTAATAGTCTCAGCTTTGAGAAGAAGATTGAATGGAACTCAAGGTAAAGCATCTGGAAATGTAACTGATTTTAAAAAGTTAGTTTTATGAAATAAAATTGTTTAAAATATTCCCCAAAAAAATCTTTCATTTAAGATCTAACAAAATTTAAGGTCAGATCTTTTATTTGACCTTACGAATAAAAGGAAAGTAAGTAGATCTCATACAAGAAAATTATAAAAATTCTTCTGTTGAAAGATGTTAGGAAGAATTGAACTTTCTGGGGAAGCATGGGAAGGTTAAGGAGACTCCAGCTGACTGCAGAAGAGTCCTGTTTTGCATTCTCCTCTGAAACGTTTATGATAACAAACACGTGCTCTCTGGAAGTGATCGCAGAAGTGAATGTTAGCTGGGGCTCTGAGTAGCCTATATATAGTGTTGGCTGGCTTAGCCAGACTGAGGGCAGTTAAATGCTATACCAGAGTGTGGTATATGGTTAGCACATTGTATCTCTCTTTTAATGAACTTTTCATTATAATTCAGAGCCCATTGGAAGCTATTTTTTTTTGTTAAAGTAAAAATTGCTTTTTAGATTTTATTTAAAGCAAAAGAAAAAAATGTAAAATGAGTAATACCTATAAGGGTATAGAAATCTATGGGAATTTTAATTAGTTGGCTTACAGATTTTTTGTGTGTGCAACTCGTTAACCTTTCACAACATTTCAAACACAAAATGACTCTGATGACCGCTTCACGTGCTGGAGAGCTTTTCGCCCACACGTCACCATGCATTTGCAAACTGGTGAATTGGAGCAGCTGTGGGTATATTTTTTGTTGTTACTTACTTGAAGTTAACGCTACCTATACAATGAATTCAGCAGGTCCCTAAAATTGCTATAATTATTTTTCATTGCAATTTTCTTTTAGAATTAACTTCTGCCAAAGTCTAAGTATTTATTTGAGAATGGTCACATTTGACGGGAAATCCCCTATCTTTGAGCCAGGGTGGTTTGTGGGCATCCACTTTTATAACTCAGACTGTGCTTATGACTTCAGTTGTTTCCTCTTGCACCTTACATTGATTTTTCTGGTTCATACATGCTATAGCTCCTTTTACCCAAAAAGTGAGAATTATTTCTCCATGTAGTTTTGAAAAATAAGAAGTATGATTTTTTTTTTTATCTTAAAATAGTACAAAGATGTTGTTCCCAAGTGGGATACAAAAGATACTAGCCATTATTCTTAAAAACCCTTTCTAACATGAAGATGGGTGGAAGAGGGAAAGAGAGAGGCAAGGAGCGGGATGGGAGACAGATCTTCTGAGAGGAAATTTTGAACTAATTTCGTTTCCCTTTCACCATGGTTAGGGTAGGTAAGAGCAATTGGATCTTGGAGAGCAGCAAGCCAAAGAAATTGGGATGGTACAGAGATTAGAGGCAAAGATGAAAATGAAAGGAAATGAAATTGAAAAATACTTTGCATTAATCAGTTTTATCACTGCCATTCTGTGGTGCGCAGAATCACCATTTGGGAAACCAAGTTCCTATTGGAAAAAGTCTGGGATTATAGAAGATTCATTACCCTATTCAAATAGAGTTCTCTCTGTTTCTCTCTCACATTTACTCCTGTTCCCACTCCAGCTTAGTTTACACGAGACTTAAGCTGTGAGGTAGAGTGTAAAGAAAGAAAAAAGATTGGCTGCTTTTTGAGTAAAGTACATGTATGTGTCTTGAAATCCAGCTTCCAGTCTTGAAACACCCAGATCAACACAACCCACATAATTCTTACTAATAATCAGGAAAGAGTCTCTGAACAGTGCATGGTCTAAGTCCTACAGTAGAAAAAGGACAGGAGGAAAAACAACTCACCAAAAAATTCACACCTGAGAGATGACAGTTTAATTAAATGTGATAAATTGCTGTACTTAATTGTTGCTTTTTCAGAAAAAAACACTTACAGGTATTATTTATATCTTATAATTAAAAAACATTTTCTTATATCCACTTGTTTTCCTATGGTATAGAAAGTCCAGTTGTGTTGAAATACTCCTAATTTTAAAATCCGCTTCTCTGATTTTTAACTCTTGTCTGTTTGGGCTATATAATTTCTATTGGTAATACCCCTACTACTTGCAAATGGTTAAATCAGTAACTTTAAATTGCTGTTCTACAATGGTCATTATTTCCATTATCTCCCTGTCTATTTATTAGCACAAACATTTCTTTTTAATCTTCTTTGAAAAAAAATATTTTCTTTTGGGTAGCATCTTGCTGTTTCATTTTAGACAGTGAGGAATCTACACCCTGCTTTGCCAAGAGTCTGATTTTAAAGAATAGACTGTGAAATGTTTACTAAACAGAAGTTTCTGAAAGTATAGACTTTTAATGCAGAAAGAGTATGTAAGCACAGGGTATTTGCTTTTCCTGATCCAAATAAGATTTAGCTTTTCTGTCATGAATTATATGCCATTTCCATCAGCTAAGGGCTTGTACTTCTTCCCATTTACCATGTAACATTTCAACACAAAGGGAATTTGAGGGCTGAGTATCAGGAACAAAAAGTTCTCATTTTTCCAAGGGGAAGCTTTTTGATAAAAGTTTATTAAACACTAAAACAAGTTAGTGAGAGGTTGTACTTTCTGCTTTCACAGACTTTTGGCATGGCAATAGAAAGCTGGTTTTATGAGTATTTAGATGGAGTGCCTTATTTGACATAAAAGAACTTACATCCTTAAACAGCTATGTTTGGAATATAGGTATGTTTGGCATGAAAATTCCAGACTTGTAAACCAGATAAATTGGGTTAACTATTCCCACGTCAAAATGTTCCTTTGGTATTGCAAAGTATTCTTTGTCAGTGCCTTTAAATTAGTGAAGATCTTTGATCATTTAAATATGATTTGATGTAACATGATATATCTATTTAGGCCCACTTCATCTATTAGATCAAGCATACTGATTTTTCAAGTTACAATAAGATTTTCTAATATCAAGCTTCATATTGGTTGATATATGTCACTGTTAAAGATTTGGGGACATATTTTTTTTAAAGATTTTATTTATTTATTTGAGAGAGAGAGAGAGAGAATGAGAGATAGAAAGCACGAGAGGGAAGAGGGTCAGAGGGAGAAGCAGACTCCCTGCTGAGCAGGAAGCCCGATGTGGGACTCGATCCCGGGACTCCAGGATCATGACCTGAGCCGAAGGCAGTCGCTTAACCAACTGAGCCACCCAGGCGCCCCTTGGGGACATATTTTATACAGAAATTTATTACATCCTATTAATTTCTAAAGAAAATTTTGCCGTTCCTTTTATCCTTTATTCTAATGAAGAGAAAAGAATCTTCGTTTCTTACAAACTTTTTCATTGAGTGAATAAATATATTGTATCCTTTGTAAACTTCTTTAAGTAGCATATCGTAGAACTTGGGTTTTGGGTGAATCCATCAAATTATTAGCAAGATATGTTCATAGAAACTGGTGTTTTTCATCTAAACCTCATTTCTTCTATAAAAGAAAATTCAGCCTGGATCTCGTGAACATTTTGCTTTCACTTGAGCATTTCTTTTAAAAATAGATTTTCTGTATAAATTCATGGTCCTCAATTTTTCTATTTAGAAGTGGTTTCATAATAATGATAAAAAGAGACTAATAATAGCTGCTCTAGCTTTCTCATGGATTGGTTACAGGAATCGAGTGTAGCGTGCATGTGAATGTGCATTTAACACTGAAATCTCCAAGGCAATACATTTTCATTTCACGATCCATTCAAATTCTGATTCAAGGGTATAGAATTGGTTAAGGTCAGTAGATTTGGAAGTTATTCCTCACTGATTGGAGCAGAAAACTAATGCTGCAGTGATGCTGTTAGGGATGGGGCTTGGAGCAGGGTGCTGGGCAGTGGACTTGCCAGTTGCCATCTATCTGTACAGAACTCTGTTAACTGCATCATCAGATAAGCTTCTGCTTTGAACTTTTTTTTTTTTTTGAACTAGGCTCCATGCCCAGTGTGGAGCACAACATGGGGCTTGAACTCAATGACCCTGAGATCAAGACCTGAGCTGAGATCAAGTCGGATGCATTGAATGAGCACCCCAGGCACCTCTGCTTTGGAATTTTTAACCAATAAGTGATTCCACAATTTTCTAGCAGGAAATTGTAGACCTGGGCATCTTTCTTTCTTTCTTTTATTTTTTTTTAAAGATTTTTTAAAAAATATTTTATATATTTATTTGAGAGAGAGAGCACGAGAGGGAGGAGGGTCAGAGGGAGAAGCAGACTCCCTGCTGAGCAGGGAGGCCGATGCGGGACTCGATCCGGGGACTCCAGGATCATGACCCAAGCCGAAGGCAGTCGCCCAACCAACTGAGCCACCCAGGTGCCCCGGGCATCTTTCTTGTTATTAGTTCCAAAGTAAACTCATAGCCCTTGGATTTCTAAGTGGCAATTTTGTATAGTACTCTTAGATGTACTCCATTCCTATATTTAAATGCTTCCAGATTTAACTCCTTCAAAATGTTAAATGTCTTGATAGAATTACAGTTTATTGCAAAGAATCTAAAATCTTTGTACGTATTTTGTTTCATTTCAGGGTAGGATCTACATGCCATTCTTTGGTGGTTGGGCTTTTTGGCCTGTACATTTTGTTTTTTGATGAGGTTGCAAAGGCTGATCCACTTTGGTAAGCTGTTTCTTTCCAATATAGTCAATTTGATTTATGTTTTGATATTAATTATTAATAAGAACATTTCTTACTTTAAAATGGAGAACATATTGATGGCACATGTTTTATTAAAATGCTTGTGTCCAGACTTATTTCAGCAAGGTGCAATAAAAGGATTTATTTTAGATTTGAATACAAATAATGAGGGCCACTTTGTACTAGTATCACAATTGTTATCCAAGACAGGGAGAATATGATGATGATGTAAACATTTATACTGAGTTAGTGAGTAAAACCAACTTGTTGTAACCACTGTTCTGAGCAAAAATGAGTTAACTATTGAGATAGGATAGTCAAGTTGGATAATAATCTACTTAAGACTCAGTCTTGTGTTTAACCCATCACTTGATCTCAAAGATAAAAATGAGGATTATAGATGTCCATGTAAGAGGACGTTAGTACCACATGAGAAGATTTGAAATACTGATAATAACAATGTTCAACAATAAGAGGATAATTTCTAAGATGACTCTTTTTGAAAATTTTAAATGTCATTCCAATGGCAGAGATATTGCAAACTGTATTTCCTGGCATTATACAGGAAGGCTTAGTTCAGCTTAGTTTGAGGGATGAGGTATGTTTGCGAAAGCACTGCATAAATGTAGTAGATGTGGGCTCTGGAGGATGTGGGACAATTTAATTTTTGACTGTTTGCAGCAATATCATTTTAATAAATACAGGATTATGCCCATCAGAATTCTACCAGTATTGATAAATTTTCTTTGGGAAGGTATTTTTCAAAGTGAATCAATTTAGTGAATTTAATTCCATGATGAGGTTTTTATGTAATCTACCTAAACTGTTTCTAAGTTTTTTCTCCTAATTTTATTGTAGTAATGATTGTCAACAGAACCAGTGCTTTTGGGAGATAAATTTTATGACAAAGATTTAATTCACTGATCAATTTTTGTCCTTATCAAACTTTGACATAGTATAATTTTTTTTTTTAAGATTTTATTTATTTGACAGAGACACAGCAAGAGAGGGAACACAAGCAGGGGGAGTGGGAGAAGGAGAAGCAGGCTTCCTGCCGAGCAGGGAGCCCGATGCAGGGCTTGATCCCAGGACCCTGGGAACATGACCCGAGCTAAAGGCAGACGCTTAACGACTGAGCCACCCAGGCGCCCCATAGTATAATTTTTTATCTTTTTACATTTTTTTTTAATGCTGCAGTTTAGTCCAGGTTCAATTTTCCTGGGTCATATTTGCAGATCAGAATTTGTAAAGAAGACAGGGACTTCTGCTAAACCTTTCCATTTGCAGTTTAGCTGTTATCAGTTTAATTTTGTGTTCATTTCAGCAGTAGTTTACATTATAAACCAGACACAAGACTGATAGTTTGTATTTGTTTCTTGGAGTAAAGATAATTATTAGGGCAAATTGTAGGATCTTGATATATATATAGGTGTCAAAACAGCAGGATTAAACTGTCCTGTGTGACCATTTTCCAATTGTGTGACAATAGGCAGATCTCTCCAGTCATCAGTAAAGTGATACTGATCTAGTATATTGCCTCAAGATCAGGGGCAGGCTAGATGATTTCTTGAGTATTTGAATCTCTGATTTAGAATAAGGAATAAAAAACAAAAACAAACAAAAACAAAAACCAGCCAGTATCTGGAAATCCATTTGAATTCTTTCACAAACAAATCATATGAGAACACATTTATAAAAAGTTATCTTTTGGTAAAATTATTTATATAAAACTTTTAGCTAATATAGGAAATTATGATTATTTGTGCAGTTAGAAGTATTTCAAGCTAACACAGGGCCTGGTACAAATGACAATTTACCATTGAAGAATCTATAGAAAGCATTTTAATTACATTTCTCAATAGAAAAAAAATGTAGCTGTCATCTATAACCATGTGCTAAAAAAAGGGAATCTTTTTTTTTTTTTTTAATATTTATAGGGGTGATTCATCGCTTGTGAAAGTGAATATCTCTATTGCTTCAGGCTACCTCATTTCTGGTATGTGATATGTTGGCCACTCTCTGTTTCTTTTTAAACTACTCATGGGATTTTACAAAGAATACATAGTCTATGCTTTTGGTTTATTTATTTGAGAAGTCACTTGTAGGCCCATAAGAGGAAAAAATATCTGCTGTGATGGTAGAACATGAGACATTTTTCCTGTTGGCTCTCTGGTTCTCTTTGACAGTAGAGCTGCAGAGTGGGACCTCAGTTAGGCCTGGATATTTTTTACTAGCAATGGTCCATTTTTTGGTCTACAGGGTCTCTCAGGTGGAATTCCTGGAAAGCTAATGAAGTTTAAGCATCAAGGTTTCTCTCACTTGCAAGGGCCCTTGAAATGTGTACCTGTGCTTGCAGTTTTGTATTGTTTGGGGAAAGTTCACAAAGGGAAATTGTTTTAGCCATGATCAGTTAAGATCATGGGCTCTTTCTACTCCATGTTTCCCTCTGTCATATTTCTCCTCCTGTGGGATGCGGTTGGAATAGCCTTTTATACTATGAGACAAAGGGGAAATTAAGTGAGAATATAGCATTTAAACTTTTTGAAAAGACATTCTAGACAGTCTCTGTAAGACAAGAGAAAAAGAACAGACCCCTGATTTGGTCATTTTATATAGGGAACCCTATTTTATAATTTTTTAATTTAATAAATAGCTGAAAAATCCAAATAAAAATAATGGGATATGAAACAAAAGTGATAAAGATGAGTGATGGACTCAATAGAAAATTTTCTGCCATCAAGAAGTGAATTGTAACAAAAAGATTAAATTATACCAAAACACAGTAATTCATTAGGCGGAAGAGATAAATTTCGAATTAAAATAATGAATAGGTGATTGGATTATTTGATGGCCCAATTAAAAGAAGACTGAATCATGTGAACACATTGGAAAAAGACTTGATTGTTTGGCACAAAATGCTGTCGTTGACAAGGATGACACACAATTTATAGTAGTACACCTCTCGCACCGCTTCATGAGCCTTGTCCGTTCAGAGAGTAGGCACCACCCAGAAAGTCTTGTATGAAAGAAACTTGATAAAGGTTTCCCCAAATGATATAATACTCTGAAGCACTTAAAAATACGAATAATGAACTGAAACCGACTTTTCTAAACCAAGCTGAATGAAAAGTGAATTCTTTTTATTTCTCTCTATGGAAAATATTACAAGGTCATTATCATAGAAATTGGTGACCCAAGAGGGTACCGCCAAAATTCGTCGGGAAAATATATCTAGAGAGGTCTATCATGCAGTCAGTTACTAATAGTGTTATATTTTCTTGATTTCCACATTTGTACTGTTTGTTTTCTCTTTAAAATTTGTAATCTGATCACTTTTTTAAAAAATAAATATTCACATCTAGTTTTGTATCAGTAATTTTCATTTTTTCTATATATAAAAGAAGGTTCCCATATTATATAAGCTCCAATCCCATAAGCCTTGAATCCTCCCCTGGTTTCCATCCATGATAGCCACTTGTCTCCATGTCTACCTTTCACATGTAGCCATTTGGTAAAGAACATAGTTGTGTTAACATTTTGAGAAGTTTCTGTTTTGTTAAACTTTCTGTTTTGTTAAGGGAAACTATTTTCTGAATCATGGTGTTTAGTTTCAGGATCTCTTAAGGAGAAATTGAGGCCTTGACCTCTTTCTTTGCATATTTTTTTAATAGTTTTAGTTCTTGTTTTTTTGTTGCTATTTTGAATTAATATTTAATCACATCCTTTGTTAATTTTTAAATATTGTTTGTTGAATTTGTGTTATAAATGAGTTGGTCATTTTGTACCTTTTCTCCAAACATCTTACCTGTGTGAATTGTTGTAGTCACAAACATCAGTAATTTAAGCTTATTTAAACATTATTTTTATTCAGTAACATTTCCATTTTATTTAACCCTGGAAACAAGTTATTCAATTGTACTTTCAACCAATATATTACCTGTGTGGTGGGCACTGTGCTGGATTCCCACACCTGGTCCTCATCCGGGGAGGTTGCAGTAGAGTGGGGGAAACAGTCGTGTGGAAGCAGATACTTTACAATAAGGGGGGTAACTGGACTAGCGAAGTATGAACAAAGTGCAGTGGGCTCAGTATGGACTGTGACAAATAGTTAAGGAGGAAAGTTAAATACACTGGGAAAACAGTATAGCCTTCTTCCTATGTAATATCTCACTTATTTTTCCTTCTTTCAGATTTGTTGATTCTCATTTTGTATTGGAAAGTGATTGGTGACAAATATTTTATAATTCACCATTGTACAGCGCTGTATGCATACCACTTTGTACTGGTGAGTGCCAGGATTTACAGTAGCCTGACAAGTAGACAAGATGGGGAGTGATGACTTAAGGGTGAACCGAAATCGAAACTTACAGTTCTCAATTTATAAAGACCAACTCCAGTTGCTTTCAGGGATCACTGTTGTGATGTGTTCTCTCGTTTATTAACAAAAATAATGACTTGTGTGATTGTATTAGTGTGTCTATTTGGATTCATAAAATTGAAGGCAGATAACCCCAATTTCTCGAATTTTCACTTAAAACCTTTAGGATCGTGTAGCTATTGATATTTGCCTGTCTTTCTAGATGCATTTATGACTTAACAGCCAGAGCTAGGAATAAATTCTTATGTAACCAACTACAATATTTCTTTTCTGTTTAATTCTTGTGCAATTACATGTATATATGTAATTACATTTAAGTAGGCTGGAGCAGTGGGGGAGTCTTGCTCAGAGACTTCATCAGAATTCCAAGACTGAGCTAATAGAGGGTACTCACAGCAAATCTCAGGCAGTAATGCATATTAAGCTTTATGTCTAAAATTATTTTTCTACATTATATATTTGTAAATTAGCAATTTTATATCCCTTGTATGTTTGTTAGATTTCTCTACAATCATTTGTTTTTCAACCTAGATATGCCAACAATCCCCAAATAGATATTTGGAAATAATAGACATATGTAAACTAGAATAATATAAATTTTTTTTTTTAGAGAGAGAGAGAGTGCACACGGGTGCATGCACGCAAGAGAGAGAGAGCAGGGGGGAGGGGCAGAGAGGGAGGGAGAGAAACACAGGCTCCACGCTCAGCTCAGTCTCACAACCCTGAGATCATGACCTGAGCTGAAATCAAGTGTCAGCCACTTAATTGACTGAGCTACCCAGGTGTCCCTAGCATAATGTAAATTTTATGTAATAGTATGGTATACCATTCCATGTTTTCTCCTTTTTAAAACTTAAATATAACCACTGGATTTTTTTTTCTTATTTGGTATTACTAAAATCCTTATATTACTGTACATCTGTGATTATTTGGAGGGTTTTTAAAAAATTAATATAAATATGTATTAATATTCTTCCACTTTATATTGACCCACAGATAGCTGGTGAATAAGATGTCAATTTGGCATTATTTCTGCAAGAATCAGATATATAAAAATATCTCTCTTTATCACCCATTGAAGTCATAAATTAATTTTAAAAAAACTATGCTGGTTTTAATGCTATAAATAAGTGATTATGTATACCCAAAAGGTATCATTAATCACTTTATTTTTCTGAACCAATATGCTATTTTTACTGGCATTTCCTACTGTTTGTCTTCTTTTTAGATTTTAATAGATTATAAGTAGTTATAAAATACAGACTTTTACCTTTCACAGGTCTTAAGTGTTTGGTGTACAAGCACTTGCTTCCTAACCACTTGCTTAAAAAAACATGAAAGCTGACTAACAAAATACTGATTAAATCTGGGAAGAATGTGTGGGTGCCCATGTGAGTTTAATATCATGCTGCAATGCAGAAGTATGTTCTCTGAACATGCGTCACAAATAACCATTGTGCTATGAAAAGAATATATGTAAGCCGATGAAAGGTAACAGGTCACTTACGTGCATTTGGAAATGTGAATACGATGAGCTGCTGTTCTCGCTCGGCCCCTGAATCCCAGGCTTGGCAAAGGGCTGGCTGTGCGTGGATTGGTGGGTTGAGTATTTAATTATGTGGGATGAATACTGTTTTCTCTTTGAACTTTTATGCCTTTATTAAAAAAAAATCAAAGTGCAAAGAAATTAACTCTTGCCTTATTGATAAGAAAATCAACTGCAGTGTTTTCTAGGGATGATTGCTTTTTTGGTGGCTTCCTATGTTCTGTTGTATGAAATAAATGAATGGTATGAGGTAAATTTATCTGATTAAAGTGAATCTATTCAGAGGGAAACAGAAAAAAATTAGAAAATAAATAAATGCTTATAGATATAGTGATCCTTTGTCATTTATAGATTTTACATTTCCTGTTTAAACTATAGAAAACTTTTTGTTCCATGCAGTAAATTCCCATGTCACTTTGTGCAATTTAAGTAAGGCTAACAAAATAATAACAGCAACAACAACTACTATTATTTTGTATAAACTTTTATGAATTTCCTCACTTACGTGATGAGAACTGGTATGTGAAAGCGTTTTGACTTGATAAGTATGCAACTATTTAAGCTGTTTGTAGTAACCTCTTTTCTTAAAAGGTTTTCTTTTTTTTTTTATTTATTTATTTAAATTATTGCTCCACCCAGTGTGGGGCTTGAACTCACAACCCTGAAATTAAGAGTCACATGCTCTTCTGACTGACACAGCCAGACACCCCAAAAGATTGTCTAATTTTAACTAAAATTTAGAGACAAGTTATCTGTAGGTTTTAAATGTATGCTCTACTGAATAGTTGAAAAGTAAGATCCTCTTAAATATAGGTTATTAAATAGGTTATATATAGGTTATATAATGTCTTGATCACTATTTTTGTACCTCTCTCCAGTAAAATTCTCTGGTAGAGTAACTTAGAGCTTAAGGAATCTTCTCTTCTGTCTATATAGAAAGGTAAAAATCCTACAGAGTTTTTCCTAGTATTCACCTTCCCCCCCCTCAGTCAGGATACTAATTATTAGGGGAAATGTGAGAGGATAATTTCTTATCATAAGGGACGTGAATACAATTATGCTTTAACGCCCTATTTTTAAGGATAAACCACTGTCTTTTGTACTCCTGATCTCTTTGATAGCCTTCATTTTTTTCTGTGTTTCTTGTGGATCACGCCATTCCCCAATCAAACCACACCTTTAGATAAAAGTTAGAGTATACTTGGAAAACTTTTGAACTTGAAAGGAAGAACACTGCTATACATACTTTCCCCAACTCTTCTGCATTATTAAACCACCCTGGAATCTAATCATTAAACCACCCTGGAATCTAATCATTAAACCACCCTGGAATCTAATCATTAAACCATGCAGCTGCAATTGAGGAAGAAAATTTGGTTTCCAGGGCTCTCAGTGCATTTATTTAAGGGAATTAGCTGCAGTGTGTGATACCTTGAGGGTGAGAATTTGTTTCTTGTTTAATGTTATACCGCAGTGTCTACATTTTAAAAACATTTTGCAAGCAAGTATGTATGAAGTGGTATTGAAAAATGAAAGACTTGTTATGTCAGAAACAGTAAAGCTGTAATGTATATCAGGAGAGAAGAATTAGAAAAATATCGGTCTTAGTTTTAGTCTAAAGAAGACTTTCCACAACAGTGCCATGAAAGAAATGCCATGACTCACCAACAGTTTATCATTAACAGTGTTAAACTGTTAAAATGTTTTAAGATGACTTGAATAGTGTTGCCTGTTCTCAGTTAACACATAAAATAATGTATTTCCTCCTTTTCTCCCATTAGGATAGTCTTAAAGAAAAATTTTAGGTAACTATCATAGCTGTTAGAGCAACATTTCAAAAGATAATTTCCAAAGTTTAACACTTTTGTTGACTAGGTGCGTATTAAAATAGCCACCTAATATAGCTTACTAAAGCAATATTAAATAGTAAGGTCTGTGTGATTTCTGTTCCGCACTAAATTTACATATGAATAAAACACGTTAAATATTTAAATCAAAATATTTTAAAAACTGGAATAACATATTAACCTTTTTTCTACTGAAATAAAACATTTTCAGCTTTTCTTATACTGTAGTGAGCAATAGATGGGCAGAAGTCAGTCTTAGAAATTGTTTTATTAGCCTGAAACAAATAATACATTATATGTTAATTTTTAAAAAAGTAAAAGAAAATATGGTGAGGAAAATTAAAAAAAACTTTTATTAGTATTTGTATAGCTTACTTATTTAAATCTATATGCAACCACAGTTATACAATTGGCTTGTAACTCTTACTACTAATTAAGGGATTAGTCGTGGTAAAACTGTTAAGTGGCCATTTAAAAAATATGTTACATATGTGTATATATACGTAAAGACCTACATACACACAAATATATGTTGTGTTTGGATTTTTGGAGTTTGCTTTAATATTTACTTTTTATTATAGAATACCTGATGTGACCATTCCCCCTATTTGATGAACATAACCAAGCTCCTTAAGACGTTCCTCTGTTTTGGTTTAGGAGGAGTTCAAGGCTAGCTCTTCCTTCCTTGCCCTGTGGTTGCTGCTTCATGCTCTTTTTTTTTTTTTTAAAGATTTTATTTATTTATTTATTTGAGAGAGAGAATGAGAGAGAGAGAGAGAGCATGAGGGGGGGAGGGTCAGAGGGGGAAGCAGACTCCCCGCTGAGCAGGGAGCCCGATGTGGGACTCGATCCCGGGACTCCGGGATCATGACCTAAGCCGAAGGTAGTCGCTGAACCAACTGAGCCACCCAGGCGCCCTGCTTCATGCTCTTTTGTGGGCACAGAGCATCCCCTCAGATTTGCATAGTTGGATTATCTTAGAACTGTTTCCCTTTTCTCTCTCTAACCTGGCTTGGTTTTTGAAGGCTATTTCCTTTCAATACCAGAAAAGAAAACAGTTCATACATTGGACTTATGTGTGATGATAAAATAGATGTCAGCTGAGAGCATTGCCATGTCTACCCGAGTCAATATTTTGTTCTTAATTAGGTTTTTAAAAAAGCAGCCTTACCATATGATGCTCCTTATATGATGTGCTGGAATACTCAAATCCATGGACACAGAATAGTTACCAGGGGCTGGGTGCAGGGGATAAAGTTACTGTTGAATGGGTGAGAGTTTCAGTTTGGGGATATGAAAAATTTTGGAGACTTAAACACTTAGAAGTAGTTAAAAGGGTAAATTTTATGTTACGTATATTTTAGCACAATAAAAGTTTTGTGTTTTGTTTTTTGTTTTTTTTTTAACAAGTCTATCAAATGACTGAAACAAGGCTAAGAAGGAGACCTAATAATATGCTGGATGATATATTACATTTTCAGGTTGGAGCAATAGGATGAAACAAATAGATGGAA